AGGGCATACTTTACATCTTGAACCTCGGGCTCCAGTACAGATCTTACATCGATGATATCAGTGTCATCAGGCAGTGGAAAAATATGGCTCAGATGCTTCAGAAGGGCAGCAGTTAACTACCAACCCCCTTCCTGATTACAACAAAGTAAATCTTATCCCTCCTAAAGCATCTTTAATTGGATTTCCAGCTCCTTCTGAAGAGGCTAATTCTTTTGCTTCTTCCCAGCCATCATACACTCCCACAAGGAAAATATTACAGGAACTATCTTGAAGTAGAAAAAAGATAATAAGGGGAATCGTCAGAGTAATTTAAAGACATAAATTAATTCAAAATGTACTCCTCTGCAATATGTTTTGAACAATTGGAATGTTTTTAAACTTCATATGGCTGTTAAGTTTAACCCTGTCAGACAATGTCTGGGGGTGCTTTGTGTTGATGTGCAGTGTGTTTTGTTTATATATATGTATGTATGTAGGTATGTGTGTGTGTGTGTGTGTGTGTATGTGTGTGTGTGTGTGTGTGTGTGTGGCCACCCAGAACATTATGCTTGGGCTTGGAATGGTGAGAAAAATAGGAGATGGTTGAAGGGTCCTATAAAAATCACGTTTGGCAGCTGATAAACTCCTGCAGAAAATTGAGAAATTTGGAGAAGTGGCTGGTCTGAAAACAAATAGGGAAAAGACTAAAGTAATAACAAAAAACTTAACAGATAAACAGAAAACCCAACTCGCTAACATGACAAATCTTCAAATAGTTAAAAAAGTTAAATATTTGGGTATTTATTTAACGGCGAAATATACTACACTAAAAGAAGATAATTATGAGAGATTAATGAAGCAAATAAAAATAGATTTGGAAAGATGGGAAAATCTTCAACTATCACTTTTAGGAAGAATAGCGATGGTTAAGATGAACATTTTACCAGAGCTAATTTTCTTATTTCCAACAGTGCCTATTAAACTTACTAAGAATTTTTTGATGATTTAAATGCAATGATTCTAAGATTTATACGGCAAAAAAGAAAGCGAGAATCAAATGTAAATTGTTACAAGAATCTAAGGATAGAGGGGGCTTTGGACTTCCAGATTGGAGACTTTACTATCAAGCAGTTATTTTGTTTTGGCTTAAAAAATGGATGTATTGAGAAATAAAAGATTGCTTTATTTAGAGGGACATGACCTCCAGCTAGGTTGGCATGCTTTTATATGGTACGAGAAATCTAAAGCACATAAGTACTTTCAAAATCATGCAATAAGAAACGTACTACTTTCAGAATGGGAGAAAATTAAACATAAAATATACATGAAAATACCTGAGTGGCTTTCAACAATGGAAGCATTTGCTTACCCAAATCTGATTAATTACGACAAACTGGTTAGTTATAAAGACATTTTAGACAAAGAGGGAAAACTTAAGGACAGGCAAACTTTACAACTACAAGATATTGACTTGACATGGTGGTCCTACTTGCAAATTCAAACAAGATACGAAAAAGATATAAAACTGATAGGTTTCTACAAAGAACAGACCCCATTGGATAAAATTTTGTTAAAAACAGATGAGAATTTGATTAGAAAACTCTATAAATTTCTTTTAAACTGGAAGATGGAAGAAGAACAAGTGAAAGAAACAATGATAGTATGGGCAAAGAACTTCGGATATTCTATAGATTTGGAAGACTGGCAAAAACTTTGGGATAAAAATATTAAGCTTACAAAAGCGGTAGCATATAAAGAAAACTTATATAAGATGTTTTATAGATGGCATATGACACCAGTTCGCTTAGGGAAAATGTTTAAAAATGTCTTGGATATTTGCTGGAAATGTAAACAGCAGCCAGGCACTTATTACCATACCTGGTGTATATGCCCTATCACTAAGAAATATTGGTCTAAGATCCATAGATGGTTGGAAAAGATGATGAAACTACAAATAGAATTTAAACCAGAATTGTTTTTGTTAGGAATATTAAGATCTAATTATGGCAAAGAGAATGATTACTTGATATTGCATGTTTTAACTGCTGCAAGGATAGTATTTGCCCAATTTTGGAAAAATGAGAATATACCATCTGACCAGATTATTATTACCAAAATTTTAGAGTGTGCAGAAATGGAAGAAAAAGACGACTCAATTTATTTTAGAACTTGGGAAAAATTTTATCAATGGTTAGAGACACGTTAGAATTTGAAGGAGTCAATATTTTAGAACAGTTGACTGATTTTTAATTGAGTTCTAACTAACATTTTGATGATACGATTACTTTTCCTGATTTCCTGATTTTCATTTGTTAGTTTTGATTGTTAGGATTTTTTTTGAGATTTTATTAGTAGTGTTTACTTAATAGATCAACATTTGTTTACTAATTGTTTTTAATATGTTACAGTTAAGCTTTGTTAAAAATGGTTGAATATGATATTTAATTATTATTATGATCTGGACGGTTGCTTGTTTGTTGAAATATGTGATTGTACCTATCCTTATTTTATCCTAATTCCTTATTTCCTCCCCCTCCCCCTTTCCTTTTACCTTTCCCTTTACCATACCTGTATTGTTCCTATTTTTCCTCACTTATATAAATTTAATAAAATTTTGTTCAAAAAAAAAACCACATTTGGTTGGAATCATCTCATGATTTTTCTCGCTTCTTGCAGGACAAGTCATATGTTTAAATAAATGTTGTTTTAATAGTATTTGTGTATATATGTTTGTCTGTGTTGTTTCCAAGACCTGGAAGAGGGTCAAACCCTCTCTGATAACAACACACAAAAAAGCCTTATTTAAAAATAAATAGTTTGCCTGGAGAAAGTATGAAATGAAATATTTGTATGTGGAATTGTTTATGCAAGCAGTTAGAATGAAATGAATTAATTTGCTGATATTTAAGTGTGTGTGTGTTAGTCCTCAAACCCCACCCCCACCCACTCTCTCCCAGGCTGTGAAATAAATTGCAAACTGTAGATTTTATTGTTGTAAAAGTAAATTGAAAAGTAATAGTAAGTATTTGCATGAGGAGAGTTCTATGGAGGATGTGTGAGAGAATTTATGGAAAATGAATATGAAGGAGAGAAAACTAATTTTTGGTGGCGAGATTTTTTTTCCTGTCTCTTTTGTCTCTCCCCTGGCTGTGTCGCTTTAAGAGCGAGAGAGACAGAAAGAAGAAGGGGGAGCTGTTCGTTTAAAACATTTTTTTCTCTGCTTAGAATTGCGATTTGAGAAGGTGTGGGGGGGAAATTGTTGAGTTTAAATTGTTTAGTTAGACCTAGATATTCATCAACCAAAAGAACTGACTCTGAATTGTTTTGCTTAGATTTGTAAATGTTTCATTATTTATTGGAAATTTGTTTCCATCTGAATGGAATTTGATTAAATTGGATGCCCTCTCTCAGGAAAAGTTTGCATTTACTGTGCCTGCAGTGAATCATTCAGAACCTAAGAAATGTTATCACTGGACAGTTTTGCCACAAGGAATGCTAAACAGTCCCACATTATGTCAGCTTTATGTTGCTGCAGCATTGGCTCCTTTTCGCAAACATCATCCATTAGCTTTGGTATATCATTATATGGATGATATTTTAATTGGAGCACCAAAGATACAATCTAATTGGCTTTCAGAAATACAAATTTGCTCAGTCCATTATTTGATTTATTGACCAAAGGAAAACAACCTGGAGATCTCATTGTAGTTCCCCACCTGTAGCACTTGCCACAGTGGAACAAATTAATGACATCATGAGTACTCAATTTGTGGACAGAATTCCACATAAAAATTGTCAGTAACACTTTTGATTTTTCCTACTAGTAAATTACCTACTGGAGTATTAACTGTGATAGAAGTGCAAAAAATATATTGTATTGAATGACTTTACTTACCCCACACCCCATCCCAAAATGTTTTATTTTTTATCCAGGTGGTTGCTGAAATAATAACCTTAGGACGCACATGAGTTTGCCGTCAAAATGGAACTGATTTAATTAATATTGTTCTTCCTATCTCAGAATCTGATTTTCAATTTTATTTCAGAATAACTTATCTCTTCAGTGTGCTTTAACTGACTGTATAGGTTCTATTTCATATCATCTGCCTAAAGATCCTTGACTTGCTTGTTTAATGACTTTTTCTTTTCCTGTCCACCCACTGCTTTTTTCCTTCTCCCTTGCCACAAGCTCCTACTGTTTTTTCCGATGGAGGGCGAATGAGAGGAGCAATTGCTTACAAGGATCCTCATGATACCTGGAATGTGTCCTACATTGCAATACAGTTCTCACCACAATGCTCAGAATTATCTGCTGCTATTTTAGCTTTCGACACCTTTTCTCAACAACCTTTTAACTTAATCTCTGACTCTCAGAGTGTGCCAATTTATGTGTGCCAACTTATTTTTAATCTTCCAGGTGCTTATATCACGCCCAGGATCGACCCCAATCTTATGACTTTGTTTTTCCATATACATACAAGACTGAAAGCATTTATATTTTATTTCTCATATACGCAGTCACTACTCCCTTCCTGGGCCTAACTTTTTTTATGTCTTCCTAATCCCCATGGTTTCACGTCTAATCAACTATGACAAATGGATGTTACCCATGTTCTCTTTTTGGCTTCCTGGAAATATATTCATTTATCTATTGATACCTATTCAAGAACAATTTGGGCCACGCCTCAATGGGGAGAAACAGTTGCACATGTTATTTTTCATCTTTTTTCAGCATTACTGCCTTGAGTAAGCCCTCCTCCTTAAAAACTGATAATGGGCCAGCCTATTCTTCAGTGGCCTTTTTGCAATTTTGTACAACCTGGAATATTGTTCTTACTCATGGTCTTCCCTATACTTCCATGGGTCAAGCCATCGTGGAACGTGCTAATTGGTTCTTTAAGAACTGCTTTCACAAACAAATAAAAAAGGACGGATCTAGGGTACCCAATTTGTCGTGGGTAACACAACAGGTAAACAAAGTATTATTTACATTAAACCAATTGAATGTTTCCATTCAAAATTCCACCACTTATCAGAGACACTTTCAACAGAAAACAAGCTTGCCTCCGCCTCTGGTATATTATCGGGCTTTACCAGACAAAGCATGGTTGGGACTGGTCTCTCTGATCACTTGGGGGCGAGGCTATGCTGCTGCGCTTATTCCTACAGTACCTTTGTGGATTCCAGCACATTACGTTCACCCAGCAGGGATGTTGTAGCACCAGTCCTGGATCTGGTCCCAGAAATGGCAAGGGTGATTCTACAGATGGCACAGCAACCAATCCGATCCCGGCATGCCAGTCGGCCAGTGACATGGGGAGATGTAAAGAACTTGACCGCCAAAGCACAGGCAGTGCTGCAGCAGCAACAAGTAGAGCAAATCCCCGAGAACCTGTGCACTGCCATTTTTGCGATTTTAACTGCAAATTCCTTAGCCATCATTTGTTTGTGTCTGATTGTTATCATCTGCCCTTTGACAACAACAGCTGTCATCCCACCCAAACAATCATTCGAGCAATGCATGAAGCAAAATCTATGGGTGCAGATGGCTAACATCACACAAAATGATGTCTTTTGCTTATCTGAAACGTATGACATGGAAAATTTGCTTTCTACATGTTTAGTCCCTGTTTGTACCGCTTCTGCAGTAATTCAAACTTTACTGGCTTGAGCAGAATTTTATTCAATGGGAACTTTAACTATAAGGCTATATCTAGCTGGGGGGTTACTGCTTATTATCCACCCTGATGCTATTGCTTTGCACACCCCAGTGGTAGCTATCCCTGCAAATATAACATGTGCAAAAATAGTTAATTGTACTTCTTCAAGTAAAAAACCTCACTGTCATCGCATTAGCTCACCTGTTTTAAACTGCACAGCTTTTGAAGAGACTTCCTTTTATTTTGGACATGTTTGGCTACCGCAAGGAGGGTTTTTTACATGGGATCAAGAAACTTTTAATTATATTCCTGCTAATATTAGTGAATTGCAGTGTTGCCTCAGCCAGCTAATTCCTGTTTTGCTTTCCAAACAACAAGTTCACTCGAACTGTTCTTGATGTGGGGTCACGCTAGACAGCACTTGTGACTCTGAGACAACCTTACTTAATAAAGCAGAATATGTAGCATTGTCTCTGTCTCTAGTGGATGTACCAGGACTTGCTGTTCGTGCTCACCTCAGCATTAATGCTATTGCATGTAATTTAGCAAAAACAATTAATGCTACTTCTTCAGCTATTTCAGCAATCAACCATGAGCTACAAGATATGAGAAAAGTTATTTTGCAAAATTGCGCTGCTATCGATTATTTGCTTCTGCGTCAGCATTTGGGTTGTGAAAGTTTTGAGAGGATGTGTTGTTTCAATATTTCTGATAATTCACGAACCATCCAGCACCAGATTAATATTTTACACAATTTGGCCTCTGATTTGAAAATTGATACTTTAGGATCTTGGTGGGTGCTGTTTTGTGCAATGTATTCCTTCCTTTTGCAATATATGTATCAGAGCTTTTAGCCCCAAATTTTCTCCCACATTGCCTCAGGGTCAGGTTTATGCCCTGTATAAACAACTGCAAGGATGCTCCTCACCTGATTATAATCCTTTTATTAACCCTTCTTATGACGATATTTCATCTAAAAAAACAAAAAAGAGTGAGATGTAGAGATAAGGGCCAGGTAGAGGTCGTGAGCAGCAAACTGCCCTTCCAACACCTGCATGCCTCTTCTCTCTACATGATCTCATCCATTCACATCACCATGGCAATGTGGGAAACTACCCCAGGCTGATACAATGATATCACCTGGTTCACATGATATCAGCCAGGTTACATCAACAGGATGTGTTAGAAACTGCTCCCTGGCTGGGCCTCCTGGCTGATATCTTCTTAAGGATTGGTAAGGAGTTTAACCAATGAAATGTTATTGCTACGCTATTGCCATGTTAAAATTTTGCTGCTTGGAAAACTCTATAAAAGAATAAATGCTGCGAAGGCGGTCAGCCATATTTGCACCCTGCAATGACTGAGCACTGAATACTACAACTAGCCGGATATGGAGAGAACTTGAGATCACCCACAAATTCTCCAAACAGTTGCTCCTCAAGGCAGCACTTTCCTACTGGCTTAGATAAAGCCACCTTTGCTTGAATGTGGCCAGTGTCTTTATGGACACCCGATTTACATACTTCCTTTTCTAATCATTTTTGGAAATTGCTTGTTAATTGCTTTTCAGCTGATAGGAATCTGTGGACTGATAAATTTCAGACCACACTGGGGAGTTTCCTTCAATAGCAAAAGAATTGATTCAAAAAGTACAACACATTTTAAATATAAATTTAAGTGCTTTAGATAAATAGGTATTATTTTGGTAGAAAAATAACAGCAACCTTAAAAGAGCCCTATCGAGGGCAGTGCTCATCTGCCATCTCCATTGGCCATTGAGCCAATGCTGTCCAAAGATGTTTCCATAGTCATGTAATTAGCATGAGATCATGGAGCAATGTTACCTTTCCACCTTAATGGTACCTATTTATCTACTTATGTGTGCATGCTTTTGAACTGCTATGTTGGCAGGATGAGGTGGGGATGGGAACTCACCTCATCATGGGCACTCAGGTCTTGAACATGGGCTGCTGGCTTTCCAGCCAACAAGCCCAGGTCTTAACCACTGAGCCACTGTGTCATCCCTTTAGAAACTAGAGAAACCAGAAAAAACTAAAGATCACAATTAAAGAAAAATACTTACATTTGACTTACTAATACAGAATGGAGCCAGAAACTTTAATATTTGACGTACTGACGGGTATTTTTGAACAATGAACCCAGAAGTTAATTGTAAAAGAGACTCAAAGAGATTCATTAGAGATAGATCAAGTTTGAAAGATGTCATGGAATACGTTTTACTGGATAAAACAGAAACTGATCTGAAAGTGGATGTAAAAAAGGTAGGCCACAAGAATGATATGGAAAAAGATGCTGTAATGTGTATACAAATGAAATTGGGATATTAATAATAATTAAAAAGGATATACAAGTAGATCAAAAGAGTGATAACTTTTCTATATTGGATTTACAAAAGAGATTTCTGAAACTTTTGAGAAAACAAATAAAGAAAAAATGAAATCAAGATCTAAGACATTATCTGAAGCTTTTATTTATGTTGTTTTTATTTCTTAATTGTTATTTCAAATTGTTATTTCAAGATTGTTAAAAATAAAAGGAAAGATATAAAGTTGGTTTATTTGATTAAGATTAAATTAGATGTTAAAATAGATCAGGACTGAATGACAACAAGGCTTTAAGCATCTGTTTATAGTTAAGAGATGATATGTCAGAAGATGTTTGTCATTTGTTATATTCTTATTTTCTTTCTTTTCTATGTTTTTTAAATTCTTTCTTAGTTTCTTATCTTTAAAGTTATCTTATCTTATCTGGTAAAGTTTAATAACATTATAAAAAATAATCATATCCTTACTAAGTGCATTTCATTTCCTTCAATCCATTGGCTCCAACCACGGTCTTCTTTTTCTCCTTTCTGTACACAAAGAAGTTTATCTCCATCCCATGTCACACATGTCTAATTAAAAAAAAAATCCAGTTCAGACCAACCAACATAAATAAACTGTAAAATATATTACTCTCACCCTTTCTTAAGTACCTTTAGGAAATAAAATTCAATATTTAATTTTAGGAGTTACAGCATCTTTAATAAAGATTGTATTAAAAATGAAAACTCTTTTCCCAACAGGATTATTGTTCTAAGATATATAAACTTTCTTTAATCCTATAAAAAATAAAAATAAGTATTCAAATTAGATATTATTGAGTACAGTTTTTAATACTTTTCTTATATAAATGTAATACCCCCTTTATTTAAAAATGATAAAAAAATAAGACTTGATGAATTGTTGTTTTCTGAATAAACAGGAAATAGGCAGGCAATGGGAGATGATTTCTTGGTATCTGAAATTTAATTTGGTCTAAGTAATTAAAAAAATCATTTAAATTGAATTAAAAATAAAAATACTTGATAATATGTCATTTCAATCATATGATTAATCAATATTCCATTTCTACTCCATAAAAATTACAAACTGATAATAGTTTTGGGGAATATTCAGAACCTGTACTTATGCATTTCTAGCCTCATACATCTGCAGTAATCCAAGATTATTTCAAAATGTTGACAACTGTGTGGGGATGTTATACTATATAATCCACCCTTATATACTATATTTGTTTTTCAAATTCTGACACAACTACAGAAATCATGGATTTTACATAATAATTTCATGAAACATGTTTTGTCTTTTTACACCCAAAGTGTACCACATATGTGTACTACAAGTTAGATAAATATCTCTGGCAAAATATTTCTTTTTTTAAAGAAACACATTTAGAAAATATTTTCCTGCACTCTCTAAAATAAATCTAAATCAAAGTCACACAGTGCATGGACCATGGAAACTAGATAAAAAAATGCTTGAGTGTCAAGAATTTAATGTATATCATTCTGAAACTTTTGAAACAGTATCAAAGAATATATGTGAAAAAACAAATACATATATTAGGACAACATGTTACATTCATAAACTAATTCTACATTTTAGTTTATCCTACTAAATCCAGAAGTTATTTCATTTTAGCATATATGCCCTGTATAAAATAAGATGGCATGGATTTGAAAGGACGCTGCTTAGTTTAGAAAGTTTGAACATGTTACATTTGCACATTTACTAATAATCTTCAGTGTTTTAATACTCTGAAATGTTTCTTAAGGTTTTATAGTATTCTCTAAGTAGATATAACAGAGTCAGAACAATCAACAGCATATTTGTTTTCTTCTAGGTTACCTAAATTATTATTTCCAGATCAGATGGGAATAAAATTTCCTATAGGTCCATTTAACCTATTATTTAAAAAAGGCATTCTTTCAGTGGAGAATTTCCTAATATGTTGGATGGATTACTTTACGAAATTAGCAAAATAATCCATATGATAGTCTATGGGTCACAAAAGTATCTCTTAAATGCATACAAGGAACTCACATTGCAATTTTGTTGCAGACCAGTGCCAATGAAATATCTCAGTTCCTATATTTTCAAAGATAGCTTTTCACACATTCAGTAGACAGTCATCAACTAATAAATTATTTCATGAAAATGAAATGAGGAACATTTTAGCTAAGTATTTATATTTTAAAGGCAGCAGTGGTGTCCTCTTTCCATGTTGATGTCTTAACTACAAGCCAAATTAATCTTTTACAATGTTATTCTTGAGCTGTTAAGAATTAAGGATATGGAAAAGTATTATATCTTCTTTTAATAGGCTGATGAGGGAATTATTTTAAATGATGTATGATGTTTAAATTAGATTTGGTTTTAATCTGTTTGCAAAAAGTGCATTTAAAAACAATAATCCTGAAAGTGGAAAAATAATTTATTTTTATTTTCAAGCTGCCATATGTGAAATAAAAATAAAATAGCATTACATCAATAATCCGTTAACGCCATCTGGGTTGATTAATTTATTTTAGGTACTAGAACTATTATCTGGGCACTCCCTCCTTTTTTTGACTGAAGCTATTTCTGAAAAATAGCTTAAAATAATACATGTTTAGATTCACATGGTACAGATTTAGTGCAGTAAATCCATGAGGAGAGGGAGAGGGCGGGAGGGCGGGAGAGAGAAAGAGAGAGAGAGAGAGAGAGAGAGAGATTGATTCAATAGTGCCTGTTTAATGTATGGATTTCATCAGTGGATCCGTTGAAAAGTCAAAGAAGGCTTTCTACCAGTAGAGGGAACTCCATCCAGTATTTGCAAATTGAATAGAGCACCAGCTGACCTTGGAAAACTACAATAATTTTGATGGTTCTGTTTCATTAGTTCTTCCTTTTTAACAATTTAATATGGCTTTGGAAAAACAGAAATTCTAACCTATGATGCATTTTATTCTATTATTTAATAGTATGTTGTTTTCAGATGGTCCCGGTGGATCAGTGCCACCAAGTTCTAACAAGTGGCTAATTTCTGTTCACTTCACTGAGTACAAAACCTGAGTACAAAACAAAATATTACTTTAATTCTCCAATAATTTTGTTTCAAACACAGAATCAGATGATGTCTTTAATTTATAGTCTCTCCATATAAGATCCCACTGCCTTTCCCACATTATTTTTTTTAATCTCTGAAGAAGAGGTACACAATGTGTTTTGATAATTCATAAATAATTCATTAATAAAATTCAGCCCTCTGTCCTAAGCATTTTTGTTCTACCAGCAGTTGTAATTCTGGTTTGAAGGTGAGATTCTCCTACCAAAAACTCCATGCTGTCTTCTCCTTAAAACTTAAATTGTCACTGCTGAACATGCTAACATCAATGAATGATCTCCTTTGGAAAAGAACTTTCATAGGCTTAGGGTCAAAAGAAATGAAATTGAATGGAGTTTGATTGCTTGGTTTATTCTGGCTTGTCACTTATTCCCAAAGTTCCCATAAATCACAGAAATGTTAGCTTCTATTTTGTCCAACTGACCATCCAACTTAGATTCTTCTTGCATTGGCGTATGTTCACATACACAAGGGTTCACTAAGCAAACATGCACCTCGTTATCATTGATAGTTTTACCATATGTAGAATAATAAAAATAGTTATGTGCTTAAGTGTTTGTAATGCTTTACTAAATATCATAATACCAGTGTATCATGGTTGCACTCCTAATCATATATTCTTTTTTGGTATCAGTGAGGTTGTTTCACAATATATAGTTTTAGAATTCAAATATAGACCAATTCTGTGTAAGATTGTGGACCAGTTTAGATGTCAAATGTATGTCACATCCCCTGATTGTACCATTGTATTACTTTCTGCATACTCCATGGCATTATTACTTGCTTTTTCCATTTACAGTCCTGCCTTCATAGGAATTTGAGAAATCAAGTGTTCTCCTGGCCTTTAATTCTTTCCAAACCCTTTCCTTAAAATGCGTATAAAGCGATCATAGCTGTGTCAGCCCATGTTAAAACAAATGTAATTCTGTTACTGGCAAATACTTTTAACTGACAAAATGACACAAAAGAAAGTAAACATGTTGTAGTTATCTAAATTCTTCCTTAGACATAATAGCAGTAAATTAAGAAATAGGGAAATAGTAGGAAATAAAAACAAATACACAAAAGCCTTGGCTATAGAACTCCAAAGGTTCCATCATTTTGGCTGAGCTCATTAACGGTGTTGCTCAGCTACAAAGTTTGTATTTTCAAGGTAACTCCACCCATGTGTAACATATAAATATAAAAAGTAAAATACATACTTTGTACATTGTAATTTAAGTATAAAAAAGGAAAATATATTTGAAATCAAGCCATTGTCAATGCCCCAAATACATTGAAAAAATAATATGTGATTTAAGTGTATTAATTAATTCATAAACATTGGCATTTATGATTTAGTATGGTTAAACAAAAATCATTCTTCCTTTCTTTTACAATGCACATTTCAAGAAGGTATAATCAGGAACAAGCCTTTTGGGATATATTCTGAGAGAGTAAAACTAATACTTAAAGAACTTCATTATTTTTGTTAATTAGAATTTTGTTGTTGTTTAGAGACTCCTAACCAGAAGATGTACATTTTCTTTAAAATGTAATTTAGCTTCATAACTTTAGAATTAATATTGATGCTTCCATTTCCAATTGGGCATGAAACATACTAAATCTTCCCTGCTGTCTTCCATCTCTTAAAATAAACATTGCTTTTAAAAATTATGATTGTAAGTATTTCCCGTGGTACTCAGCATTGACAATAGGAGAGAGTAAAAATTGTCTATGAGAAAAAAAAATAGGCAAGCTAAATAGCTAAATACACAGTGGATACAGAGAATTCCCTAGAAGGTGGCATGTGTTTACCCTGGAGATTGTACCTCCTTTGAAAAATACCAAGCTTGAATATTTTCTGAACTTCAAGTGTATAGGTTCTCCTTTTGTTAGCGCATGTTACTTTAGAAACCCCCCCCCCACAATATTTTGTTAGGAAAACATACTCCAGGATGAAATATCTACATCAGACTTACTGTGATCAGGATGCTCAATAGATTCTTTGATAGGAAACTGTTCTCAGAACCCTTCTAGTTACTTTATGCTTTCTGGTGGCGCTACCTATTGCTTTATCACTTGAACCAGATATGTTCCAAGTGCCAACATCTATTAGCATGGTTTATGCTGCTTAGGAAATACCTGGAAAACCAAAGATATTCAGTTTTTGTCTCATGACAGCTACAACACAATTTTGGAATGGAGGGGCATTAACCTCTGTTGTCATGATCACACCTCTTCCCCATTGCTTTTGGGTTAACTACTGCCATCAATTTCTACAGAGAAGATGAATCTATTTGACCAGTTCAACCTTAGGAGTCTAATAGGCATCTTGAGCATAAGCAAGTCTGAGGGGATGACCACAACTTTATCCTGCAATATTATTTAGGATGTGTTTGATCCTAAAATGCAGAGAAAATCTACAGAGTACTTTGTCTTGAACTGTCTTGAACTGTGAGGAACAGATGATGCAGAAGAAACACT